GGGGGGGGGATTTCTGCATTAAATAATAGTACCTGCGAAGCGGGGGGGGGGAAGTAGCGACGTATTAGTAAATGCATTACATTGGGGGGGGGGGCGCGGTGAATATTGGTTACCTATTAAGCCAGGCTTCTATTTGATTTTATTATTATTTTGAGCATTTAAGTCATAGTACCCGCGAAACGCAGCACCGATAGCAGCGACGGTGCATCAAGGGTGACAACCCAAGGTCCCTTGTCAGCGCTCGCTTCCTTGTCGTCGCGCGCGCGCGCGTTCGCCGCGAGCGTTGCCTTGGCGGATGGAGGCAAACCCGCAACCTGGGGATTTGTGGGGGGGGGGGGGTTGAGGGGGTTCATTTCTCATTATGTACTAAATAACATTTTATCTGAAATCGCCTTGGCAAACCCGCGACCTATTTAGATTATTATAATTTATTCCGTTCGAGTCCTCTCATCGTCGTCGGTTCATAACGACGTCACTTTCGCAAGTGAATCCGCCGTTCCAGCAGGTCTTCAGCTGCGCCTGAGCAGCATGGCCACCACTGAAAAAAATTAGGTCGTTGAGTTACCGGACACGCCGATGTCCTTGCCAGATTTAATTAATGCAGATATAATTACACCAGAGGTGTGGAGGGGGTTGGGTTTACCAGTGAAAACATGCTTGTCCGACAAACCGAAATGGCTCTGATAAAATCTGCTCCGGCGTGTCGAGGCGAGGCGAAAAATCCTTTAATCTTCTTCTTGCTATTATTATGATTATTAGTATTAGTATTACTATTACTATTATTATTAGTAGTACTAGTATCAGTATTACTATTACTATTAGTAGTAGTAGTAGTAGTAGTAGTAGTATTATTATTATTATTATTATTATTATTATTATCATCATTATTATTATTATTATTAAATATTATATATAAAATACCTGCTCCGGCGTATCGAGGCGAAGCGAAAAAGCTTTGAGCGAATCCATCAGGTTGTTGTTGAACTGCGGTTGGGGTGTGGGGGGGGGAGGGTGGGGGGGCAAGTCAGTCGTGATCATCAGCACCATAGAACCTCCATTTTTTTAATAACAGTTCTTTTAACGTCCCCCGACTTGCAGCCCGAAGGCATACGGGCATGACACACATTCTGCACCAAACACATTCTTGTGGGGCGCTAACGACTGTACAACAACTCGTGACAGCAGACCAATTCGAATCCGGAGTGGGCCAAATCCGAGCAACAGCCAAAGAAAAAAAATTTAGTTCCTGATAAACATTCAAAATTGAGAACTATTGTACATGATGTACCTACGGTTATTGGGAATCTGGATGATACGAGCCAACACGTTTTCAAGAAAGAATTAATATCAATATTAAACAAAGCTAGGCGTGACAGGTGTTGCGCGGGGTGTGACAGGGTGTGACAGGTGTTGCACGGGGTGCGCCCACACTGAATCCTGCTGAACCATAGAAAACGATTTATTAATTGATAATAATTAGTGCGCGCACATGGTTCCTAGCCCCCCCCCATACGAACACACACAACCCACACACGAACCACCCTCACACCCCACCCCCTAATCCTAGCCCAAAGTACGTGAAAATAACAACAATAATAATAATAATCGAACAACCCCCCCCCTTATGCGCCCCACCTTTGTCGAGAGAGCAGCGTGTCACCTTGCCCCCCCCCCCCCTCCCGCACACACGCACACACAACACACCTGCGCGCCATTCTTATTTTATTTATTTAAGAGCAACCACCCCCCCTTCCCCCTTATGCGCCCCACCTTTGTCGAGAGAGCAGCGTGTCACCTTGCCCCCCCCCCCCCTCCCGCACACACGCACACACAACACACCTGCGCGCCATTCTTATTTTATTTATTTAAGAGCAACCACCCCCCCTTCCCCCTTATGCGCCCCACCTTGGTCGAGAGAGCAGCGAGCTCCTGTTCGATCACGTTAAAGCGCGCCTTGGAGTCACCCTCCAGGCCGACCCCCGTCAGCTCGGCGCCTGTTGTGTGTGTGCGTGTGTGTGTGGGAGGGGGGCGTGGGGGGGTAGGGGGGGGGTTAATATGTGGTTCTCTTCTCTCCGCTGCGTATCTCGCTGTTGTGGGGTGGGGTGGGTGGTGGTGGGGGGGGGGTTGAGGGGGGGATCGGTATAGGAAGTGGGGGGGGTGTCGATAGAATGTTCAGGCTTGAGTTACCAAGGATCTGCTTTTCCACAACACGTTGCTGCGCCGGCGTGAGCGCCGCCCACGCCTCAGCATCTCCCTTGAGTTTATTCAGTCAAGAAGAGGATTATTGAGTCACCCTGTTCGGCCGGCTAGAGACCCCTTGTTGGGAACCGTGGCCGGGGGAAGAAGATAGCAGCCGCCCCCGTGAAGAAGGGCTGGTTTGGCGAGCTGCGCACACAGCGCACGTCATTTTAATTTTATACCTTGAGCTTGCCCCACCCGAGGTAGATCTGCTTGGACTGGCCCAGCTGGTTTGAAAACTCGACAACCTTGTTATGATTGGGGCGCGCGCGGGAAGGGGGGGAGGGGGGATAAGTAGATTTTAGTGAGATGATATTATTGCGATTATTGCTATTAATACTATTGCTAATAATGATAGCAATACTAATCGTATATAGAAACGAAAGATAGTTCAGGCTACCCCGTAGACACCGGCACAGTACAGTTATGTTATGATGCCACTTCTACCGCCTGGGGCGCAGTCACTGCGTCCAGGTGGCCCCGGGTGTCAGCGTCTGAGCGTCA